ATAATGTACAGAATCCGGAAAATAATGTGTTTTTTTTACTTTAAACCGCATAAACACATTTCATTTCACCAAATACACCAAATAATGTTCTTTTTAGCAACATCATATGACCCCTTTAAGATGTTTTTAACTTCAAACTGAGTCCTCTATCCATAATACTGCTTTCTCCAATGAAAAAGTCATCTCATCTAAATCAGGACAGAAATATGTAGATCAGGCACCGATTAGAAGTGAAAACACCCATTCACTGCAGAGGATCCATCGGTGAGCAAATGATGTAATGAAATGAACATCTTGGATGGCCTGATGGTGAGTATGTTTTTAGCATATTCCTTGAAGTTAAAATGCAGAAATTTCCATTACTATACAAGAGCAGAAAAACTCTCGCCTTTATTCTGACAGAACAGTCCAAGGAAAGACAGGATGCAGAAGAGAGAGCGGAACAGGATCAGGAAAAGACTGGAGTTGGCTCCAACCTGAGACCACTTTATTATTTATTTATTATTATTATTATGAATCTATCTATGAACACAAAAACCTACATATTCTATACTAATTCTGTCAGAAAAAAAGATCTTGTTTGTTTGCTGCTGAATAATTTGATTACCAGTAAAACAATTTACATGAACCTTTCTGAAATTCTGGTGAAGGCATTATTAACTCCAGTCTCAAATGAGCTCAGTTGCTCCTTGCACGCTTCCGTCACCTTTCATATCTGAATGCTGTTGGACAGTATTTATGTTCACAGGATGAAACTGTTTCATAACTCATCTCATCTTGGCAGAAGCCACTGACTTCAAAATCAGTATGCTGTTTTGTAACCAAGCTGTTCATAAGTGATTCTGGGGAGAAAAATGGATGAATTCTGGATTACTACTTAATAAAATGAAACCAAAATAGTGAAATGATTTCAAATGAACCCTTATGTACACTTAAAGGTGATACCGTGATAAAAGACTATGAATAGCTACTGACTAAATGAGTATTTAAAAAATGATTGAAATTTTTTATTTTAATTATTTTATAATACTTTATCTTGTAGGCCTACATTAAGACACATATGACAGGGACATAAAAACTAGTGCATAACACGAATGTCAAGCTGTGGTTCTGCAGCTGCGCAACGCCTCGCGCCGCTTTAATGTTTGCTGTTCAGCGCGCGCTCGGCTCGAGACAGATGCAGCTCGTGTCTCCAGTCTAAAAAAAAGCGCGTTTCGTCGCCCCCTCTCTCTCTCTCTTTCTCCTTCTCCATCACTGAATGGGTTTCAGTGAGAGTAACGCTTTTCATTCCGCCTGAAGAGCGCCTGCGTCAGTGTTTCTATCCGCGTCCTCAGCATGACCTCAGCCGAGTCCAGCGCGCCGGGAAAAGCGTCTCAACAAGAACAGGTAGTGACATTAAAGTCCGAAAGATTTTTTATTTATATAGTTCATGCATCATGTGTGTGGAGTGTCGGACGTGAGGAGAGGATCGTGCTTTTGCTCTCACTGTTGTCAGTTCTGGCCGCGTGTTGACTTGAGCTCGTTTTGACGGTTACTG